CTTATTGTGCGATGGTCGCTGCATTTTGTAGCTTTTGTCTTTTTCTTTAAGGCAATCATTGTAACTTCTGTAAAGTCCTTGGGCCACTCTCCACTTTCATATATGGTGTTCATTAGTTTTGTCAGTGTTTTCAAACCACCTTCTCCCAGTAACTTGAGCACATCTCCAGGTACATCATCATCTCCTGTAGCCTTTCCCTTCCTCATTTCCTTGATAGCTTTTTCCACCTCACTTTGTAAAATATATGGTCCTTTCTCGTCTGTATCTACTTCTTCTTCCGGTTCAACTTCCAAAGTTTGAGAGATATTATATGTATTTAAATGTATGTCTGAACCATTTCTTGACAGATATGAGATGTATACCCTGAGAAATATCATATATACTTTATAATTCGGAGTACGCTATGTCCTGGGAAATATGAAATTATTTCAGCCTAAACATGAATATTGTCTTGAAGGATAACAGTTTTGCTCGAAATGTACGGATCAATCATTTCCCGAGAGACATAAGGTGTATTTCATAATTCCGCATGAAATTTGACCTGACAAATATCAGATTTATTTCGTAATTCATCGTAAAAATATGCACCGAGAGGTATAAAACTATTTCGCAACTACGCTGTAGCGATGTCCTGAATGATATTAGTTTATTTCTGACCTACCCGTGAGCTGTGCCTAGACGTATATAACATGTTTTTGTTTTTTCAGAATTAATCATAAACGAATTTCTGAGAGATATCGGATTTCCCTTTCAGAACTACGCGAGAGTCACGCCCTGAAAGAAACAGTCGAGAAGCTGGGAGACGTGGGAGTGAGCGTTAGTATCCACAAACCACCAGAGCTTCTGTATGCACATACGTTCACAGATGTCACCCTCGTCGCCTTCATTGTTTTGTCACAGGACAGCTCGACTCTGCTGTACCTCCAACAGGCACGTAATATATTGAGTTAGCTTGTCAGATTATTGTTTATTTTGTGTACCAAAAAGAAATCAGATCTTAATGAAATTAGGAAAATTGAAGTCATTTCAAAGCTTTTACTATCCTGTGCATTTTTACAGAACACAGACATTGACAAGAAGTTCTGGGAATAACCAGTCGCCGACTTCTCTTTGGTACTACACGAACCAGGGGGTGCACGCGATAGCGTAGTTGGTTGAGGGGCTATGCTACAAGCCGGGAGGTCGCGGGTTCAAGTCCCAATGAGGTTTTTTTTCAATGGACCTAATCCTTCCAGCCGCACTATGGTCCTGGGATCGACTCAGCCTCTAACAGAAATGAGTACCAGGAATTAATTAAATAATTTTCCTGGGGAGTAAAGCGCGGCCGGCACGTAAGGTTGACAACCTCACCACCGCTCACCACCATCTGTGAGCCGATTGTCTGGAAAATGTGTGAGCCTGAACATCTCACAACCCTGTGGGCCTTCACGGCCTATTACAGGGATAGCTCTATTTTCCTTAGATAATAAATAACATTAAATACATTCTATAATGTTCATCTTAAAAATACAGTGCTTACTATATACCAGCTATACTGAAATGAGAAATACTGCATTGTATCCACAGAGCATATTTACATCTTTGTTTACGAGTATAATATTCACAATAAACACCAAATGTTTGTCTAAGCAGCATCAAGAAAATGATCTTGTAATGAAGATACAGGAACTACACGTTTGAACAATTTTTAGACGAATTTTAGGATCAAAAGGTTGAAATATCAATCACAGCAAATTATTAATAGAAGCTATTAAATTTCTTTCAAAACATATTACAGTATTTCGAATTCAAAGTTTGTTTTCTTTTTGTGTATATTATTCCAATGAAAATTATATAATTTTCCGTCTTCTATTCTTCAGATTTCAGGTTATTATCCGGCTGTTTTCGACATGTTCAAATGGATCATGTTAGTGACTTCAAACACAGATGTCTCCACTTTGCTTCTGCCATTGGAAAGGATTACTTACCGCTGTCAGGCACGTAAACATTTCATATAGATCCAGAGACCGGAAAGCGTAGGGATCAACGCTTCCCAGTTATTCCGTTGGTGCGTGTTACGAATCTGATGGGGCCATTGTTTACAGAGCCGTTGCCTAGGAACGGGTCTACATGCTACAATGCAAATAAGTCGTAATAATGAATTTATTAATGTTGGGATCGATTTTCTAAAATGAAAAGTTTCGATCTCTCGAATAGTAAAACACGACTGAAGAAATCCTAACTTCCAATCCCGTTTCGCCTCTTTATAGCATGGAGCTTGGACACAGGAACAATGTGTCTTCCCCAAATTATTATACATTGTACCATTTTATGAACCTCTCAGTTGCGGGATATTTTAAATCAAAATTTATGCCGGATTCCTCCATTTCCTACCGCTAATGCTTCGCCGTAATGTGTAGTAACCCCGCCACTCTTTGTCGTGTTGCATGTGCAGTTCGTGGCAGTTACCATGGGACACAGCACCACTTGCACCGCTCAGCTTGACGAGTGGTATCGTGTGGTGCCGGGCGGTCCTCTGCGGCGTCGTTATCTCGGGAGTTGGTCACGTCTTGGGGGCCTCGAGATCGTTGCTGAAGACATGTGGCAGCGGAGAAGAGACTTGGAAGGCCTACAGTTGAGCGTGGCCACTGCTGAAGTAAGTGCATCGACTCACAAGCAGCACGTGACCCAAGATTTTGATTCGAGTGCTTTTCGTTTCAATGAGGAAACAGAAGCAGGAAATATGTAAATGTACACAACGTCAGTTCAATTCTTGGCATGGGAAGAACATGTAAGTTAAACAGAATAAATAGAAATAAAAGATTAAAAAGAGAGAAGGAAACGTGAAGGCTAGGAAGAATGAAAAAGAAAAAAGAATTCGAGGGTGGGGGAATAAGCCGAATTTTTGTTCGTAAAGGGTAAAAATAGGTAAGTTTCTTTTCCCTGGCAAAATTAATTAAATGCCATATCATGAAGACCTATGTGGAGTGGAGGTTTAGCTCCACAATTCTTCACTAGATGATGACTAGTTAGCTTCACGCTCCTACCGCTTTATCCCGGTGCCCATTAAGGCTAGGAGAAACCCAGAGCAGGTTTGGACTCTATGGAGAAGAGAGAGATCTCTTACTCGTACCAGGAATGCAATCCCGATTTCTCGGTCACACAACCCGTCACTATATCCACTGAGCTATCCCAGCTCCTCTTTTCAGTTTATTTAATCACTGTGACAGTAGTTCATGCTATATTTAGCACAAAATTATTTAATGGTTCTCCCATCGCTTTACCAGTGCGCCGAAACCCGCAGCACAGAAGTGTTCTGACTGATGTCTCAGCCACTTCCGCACCTCCGTTTTAACTTCTTCGTCATCAGCGTAACGTTTGCCACCCACATGTGAACCTCTTTACGCGACAAACACTTTCCTCGGTAAACAGGAAACATTTCTTTATGAATTGAATATCTTTTGCATTGAATACTTTTGCCTACAAAAGAATGCACAACAGAACGCTGCTGTTCGGTAGTACAATCCTCAAGTACGGTCGCCATTCTGACTACTGAAATCAGCCTGTGAACATGCGCATGCTCGACTGCTACCTAGACTATCATTGAGCTGGACTGTGCTGCTGCCTAGTGATACATACAGAAAACTATTACGTAAATTACAGCTGTTTTGCTTCCGTTTGTGGCCTATTTACTGACTCTTTCTTGTAATTTGGAAGACCCAGCCATGGATGCGATGATAATATTAATATGAATCTTGAAGAAATAGACGAGGACGTTATGGACTGAATTAATTTGGTTCAGGATAGAGACTAGTAACGGAGTCTTTGAACACCATAACGAACTTTCGGACCACCTGAAATGCTGTGAATCTCTTACTTGATTGACAAATATTAGCGTCTCAAGAAATGGTGTGTTGCATGGAATGAGTCACTAAAATGTGAACTTAATGGCTTTACTATAATTGTGAGTGTTGGGGATTATTTTTTGGGGGAGGGGGTGTATTATATTAAAACTTTGGTTAAATGGTTACTGACGTTTCGGAGGAAGCGGATGGAGCTGTCTCCATCTTCTAACCTGAAGACAAAGCAGGTAGTTCCCCCGAAAATTTAACACTATTCTACCAAGTTACACGACGTCACATCCAAACTATGAGAACCCCAGGTCTCAGACAATGTGAAGGTTGATTTCTCGATTTTACAGAACCCGCCGTTTGTGACGACAGTGCCCAGTCTAAGCGGATACTTGCTGGACGTGTGGAGCGCACTGGAAACCGCTCTCAACTTCACGTAAGTGCGTTGCTTCTTTGCGTGAGCACATTTCTATGTTGCTTCTTCTCACCTCTGTACCTACGAGTATATCACAGAACTCCCTTGGCAACAGCGCGGGTTACGTTCCTGGAGAACACGGTATTTGGAAAAGCCTGTAATTTATGGTAAACTAAGGTTTATGGATAGCGTTGCCGCTGTTAGCGCTCATACTGTTGTCAGTTAAGTTCTATGTTCTTTCACTAAACTAAGATATGAACACGTAAAATGAAATGGTGAGCGTCACGTTCCGACTGCTTTACCTCGGGAAAAATTTTCCTGGTAATTGTTGAATACAGGGCTATGTAGACAGCTGAGTCCGCCTGTATTTCTGTTCCTGACTGGAATTGAACATTGAACATTGAGACGCCTATGTTCACAACATGACATACACATTACACTGACACTGTGTAGTTTAGTAGATATGTACCGACGTTTTGAAGGAACCTGCTGCTTCCTTCTTCAGAATATAAAATTAAAAAACACAGGAAGAACCATCAGTGATGTCGGAAAGAGGGCTGAAGGACTGGCGAAATAATTCTAATGTCCCACTCTCCTCTTAACAGAAGTGCAAAATTCCCATTTAATTAAAAGAGAAACCATGATACCCAGCTAACAATGTCTTCATAAAAGAAAGCAGTCTTCTGGGATTTGGCACCGTGTATATGTGGTGTTAACCGACGTTTCGGAGGAACGTATCGCCTCCATCTTCAGGGTAGAAGAAAAAATATAAGAAATCCGCAAGCGAAGAGACCGTGAGAACCGGTAAAAGCAGACTGCTCTCTTCGCTTGCGGATTTCTTATATTTTTTCTTCTATCCTGAAGATGGAGGCGATACGTTCCTCCGAAACGTCGGTTAACACCACATATACACGGTGCCAAATCCCAGAAGACTGCTTTCTTCATAGTCACCGCCGCTGTGAAAGCCTCAAATCTTACAATGTCTTCATATATTCGTCCTGAAATCCCGAGTCTTCATTTACACCTATTTCAGTAGACACGACACCAGCGAGGGACCGTGTGAGTTGGCCCTTAACTGAATCTTGGCTCTGGAGACGACACTTCCCTTCCAACACCATGAACTAGTTTTAGGTGGGACAAAAAGTGTGTAGCAGAAGCCGCAGCTTCACTGGTACGTCCACTGGCAAGTTTCCAGAGAGGTTCAGGCTCCCTGGCTGCTGGGGATGTGTTTTTATTCTCCGCTTGGAATTCTGCAGCACTTCCTTGTTGTTAACGCGTTCTGTCGACGTTGGAGCGTAGTGTTAGAATCACTGACCCACGCATGGCGCTCGTGATGTATAATTTTACAGCAAAACTAACGCAATTAGCAGCTGAAATGTTGCAACAATACAGCCCATTTTCAGGCGGAAGTTAAGTTCTCTCTCTTGTCTCAGTGTCACCGAATTGTGTGAGAATGTTAATGCACTGATCTGTTTTCGACTAATATTCTGTAGTCCAACATCTTGGTTCAAGGCTACAGATTATCTCTCTGAGGCATGGATCACAGGCCAGAGCTGTGCGGTGTTTAATCTTTTCCTTACTATTGACAAAAAGAAGTAAAGTTACCCCTGTAACAAGCCGTGGAGGCCCGTAGGGTATTGAGACGTCGAGGCTTTCACATTTTCTGGACAGTAGGCTCACATATGGCGGTGAGATTGTCAGCCTTGCGCACCCGTGGCCCTTTACACACAGGAAGATTCCTGGTACTCACTTATGTTAGAGGCTGAGTGGATCCCAGGGCCATATTGCGGCTGCAAGGATTAGGTCAATTAAGAACCCAAGGACCCCATCGAGAATAGAACCCGTTACCTTCCGACTTTTAGTATAGTGCCTCAACCACCTACACTACCGCGTGCCCTGTTCCACTGCTATTGATCCTACATGTTTCTTTCTTCCATACTGCCAGTATTGCTTTCGCGAACAGAATTAACTCCAGGCGTCTTGGCGCTGGGTTATTACTGCGGAGATCTGAGTTCAGTTCTGAGTGACTTCACGTCAAGTACGTAATGCACGAAGTGAAACTGTAGCACTGGTCTGTAAGGAAGCCGTGTGTATTAGGAATCTCAGTATAATTGCACTGTTACAGAATGTAGACATTTCCTTCTGTGTTGTGTCTTGTGTTATTCTTGCGTTATTCTCTCTTTAAACTCTTACTACTATATTGTCACTTGTATGTGTGACTATAGACGGGATTTGGATTGGTAAATAGATTTATTAACCACTCACAGATCGTAACTACAAAAAACTATTACACTATCGCCATTTCTACGTTTTACAGTTCACTAGTGCGCAAAGTCTAGAGTTCTCAGTCTTTTACTAGACGTTTCCTGGTAATGGCTCCAACAATGGCTACTCCTTTGCCTCCGACTCAAGTCCTCTCTTTACAGATACCCTTACAGAACTGATTGGATCTCACCATGTCCCTTGCTTATAATATCTCGGCACGGACCACATAGAAAATACAGCTCTTCGATTGTTGTCTTCGTGTCTGTTGCTGCGGGAACGTGTTTACCAAGCCGTTGCCCAGAAGCAGCCCTGGTTTATCCACTGATCACGTCGTTGAGTACCAACTGTTTTGTATGCTGCAAATGGTGTGATATTAGCAAGGAAAGCAACCGTGTGCCGGACGAGGCGTGTGCGTTTCTGAATTGATGACAATTAATTAAGAGCTAATTAAATTTATGTGGTAAACGTGTGGTTGTAAGTAGACGAGAAATGAATAGCCGTCATTGATTTTCAAACCAAAATCACATCAGGTATAATAGGCCTGTTACATTTCAGCATTTTGTTGCCCTGGTTAATGATTCGTTTTGTGTGGGCAGCCTTGAAAGTGCAAAGTTCTTGCGTGTTCGTAGATGTTTTCACGCTTTTGTAAATGTCCCTTCTATAACATGTTTCGAATTTACATCATCATCATCATCATCATCAAGTAGACATGTAATTGCTTCACTGCATTGCTTTTTTTTTTCTTTGTTCTAGAAGTAGCCGTTGTGCTGTGTTTGAAGTTAATATTTTCCATTCCGTGGTATTGTGTGGTTTCCGTGGATGGTGGATGGTTGCGGATGGCGCCATATTTGTTAGTAAAAGAGTAGCACTAGTAGTAGTAGTACTAGCACAACAAAAAGTTTCATCTTAAAGACTGCCTAAGCAAACCAAAATTACAGTAAGTATTACATTTTGCTTCTAAATCTGATTGTACTTGCCTTTCAGGAGCAAGTTCTCTGTGCTGAACGAGGTAACATTTGCCTCGCAGGAACGACATTTAATTGACCCAGTCTCCAATGGAAGCGCTGATGTGCTGCTGGTTGCATTAACTGCGAATTCTGTAAAGCGGGTGGCATATTTATCAAGTCCCGTCATGAAACTCAGGTGTGTATAAACTGCCTGCATGGAATGGACAGCTGAAATGTACAGAAATACTGTCTGCTTGAAAAATGTTACTACTGCAACCTGAGTTGAAAAAGGTTTTCAATGTGTGGCACGCATTGTTTAGAATTATTTTTCGGCTTCTTTTCAGCATCCTGGTTTATCGAACTAACTAACTAACTAACTAACTAACCAACCAACTAACTAACTCCATGGGGATGTTCCCTTCTTCAGAAGCCACCTTTCGCTCTGCTACTCAAGAGTTTCCCAAAAAATTTACGGAACGAGAAAATTAATTATCTTGTTCACAATGACCCACCACTGGTCCCTCTCCTCAGCCAGATGAATCCAGTCCACACCACTCCATCCTACTTCTCTGAGATCCATCTTAATGTAATCATTTCACCTACGTCCAGATATTCCTAATGGCATTTTTCCTTCTGGATTTTCCACCAAAATCTTGTAAGAATTTCTCTTCGTCACGTGCGTGCTTCATGCTCTGCCTATCTCATCCTTCTTGACTTGTTAAGTTGTAATTATACTTGGAGAAGAATATAATTTATGGATCTCCTCATTATGCAGTTTTCTCCAATCTCCCGTCGCTTCATCTCCCTTCCGTCCAAATATCCTCAGATGCCCTGTTTATTAGAAGCCACGATATTCATGTGCCGAACAGGATAAGAAAGAGAACTTACTGGATTGGGCTCCTCTGAGTACAGCTACTCTCGAACCATTGACCTGTGGGACCCAACAGAATAGGTCTTCTTTCTTAACCTGTTTAGCCGAATGCGGAAATTTCAGTGAAAAATCGCTGTATAACTCTTCTGCCTTAAATATGGAGGCAATGTGATCCTGCGAAACGTCGGTCGCGACCGGAGCACCGTGCATTACATCCCAGAACACAGCCCTTACTGTCATGGCGGTGAGAACTGTTGCTGCAGTTCGTAATACAGTTCCGCATCTGCCCAGGTTCCGTGTCTACATCCACAGGCTCCAGCTGAACTTCTGGCAGTCGTTCGTGAGGCCGTTCGATCTGGGCGTCTGGACCCTCACAGGCTGTGTGCTGGTGACTGGTTCTGTGATGCTGGCCTACAGCTACCGCAGAAGTCGTGAGAATGGCGCAGATCACGAGGTGGAGCCAGTCCTCCACAGGATCCAAGACGCATTCCTCGTCACATATGGGGCTATGCTGCAACAAGGTAACTGACAGGACCTCGTGTGTCACAGCGCGGTATTTCTTGGGCAACACAACACGCAGAACAGCAAAACAAGAACAATATTCAATAGATGGAAGAAAACATCCACACAAAAGAAGCATACAAGCAAAGAGGAAGTAACTTCAACACGATACTGCATAAGAAAATCAGGAAAACAACACACGTAGAACTAGCAGCAACAATTTACGCGAATAATCATTCAAAACATACTGGCACGATTTAGGTGTGTGACAGTAGACGGGGTTTGGATTGGTGAATGGATTTATTGACCACTTGTACATACCACCCGGAACTACATGAAAGTACAGCGCCATAGCTGATTTCCACACTTTACACATCACAACACCTTAAGTATGTTCCCACCCTGTAGTGACTCAACAGCCGTGCTCACGTGGTTAGTATCCGGCGAATATCCCGTAACTGAACTCACTCAGCCAGAGTCAGAGTCAGAGTCACTTTACGACCGGTTCTTTACCGCCAACCAGTTCGTCTTGGCGACAAGCCCCTTCAGACCCACGGCCAGCAATTTTATTTACCAACTGAACACTGGCGTGTATAATCCTTGTATAACATCCTCTCTGACGAAAGGATGGACCTGACGTTTACAATTGCTGCTGGGCCTCGCCAGCGCAGTCAGTCTAAGGTCCGAGTCCCGCAGGACTCATGACCACATTTTACTGTCTCAGCTTCGAGGGTCCCTGAATCCGGAGGGTCAGGTCCCCGTATTTATATCCCCAGGAACTGGGTGGCCCGGTTATACCCCCAGGTACTGGGTTCCCTTTTCGTCGCCTCTTACGACTCGCAGGGCTAGGGTGGAGGCATTCGACCCCGCCGCCGGCCTGCCTGGGGTCCACGCTGTATAGTTTTGGGGCTGGGAAAACGCCGCCTCGTGTTCTGCGGTTCGAGAGGAACCTAGAAGCAAATGGAGAAATGGAGTCCGGAAGTATCGAGAACGAGAGACAGGCCCATGCTGGCACGTGTCCTGCCTCTCCCATGCCTCAAACCGCGCGACAGTAACATGTGGTCGTCCCATAGCGCGCTGGGCTAGACAGTGGCTTCTCATCGCCAAGCCTCGGGTTTCATTCTGGGAAATTCCATACGAGATTCAGTACCAATGATCATTCCACCACGGCACCGCAATATGTCTGACCAGGCTGAGTCCACTTTGTACTGTGGCCACTTCTGACCTATTGTTACCAGCCCTAGATGATAGGTGAGGGTGATTGTGGAGCAATTGTTGGAATGAAGAGTTGCAGGAGAAACCGAAGTACTCGGAGAAAATCTGCCCCAATGCCACTTTGTCCACCACAAATCCCACATGACCTGACTCGGGCTCGAACCCGGGCCGCCGAGGCGACTGACCGCCTGAGCTATGGCGCGCCCTATTTTGCATATCCTTAGTCTTAATTATTTTTGTTATGGGGGGGGGCTCCTTCTATGACCCGGCATTTGTCTGGGCAGACATAAAGAAGTGAATTCTCTAGTTGCTGCTTTGAAGGCTGAGATCAACTTACTCGTATTGTCATTAAGGGAGTGAGTGGACCCCTAAGAGTTGTGCCGCGCGCCTGGTACTCTGGTTGAGCCTTGTATTCGGTATGCTGCTCTACACTGCTTACTCGGCCACCCTGATCTCCAGCCTCACTCTGCAGCGAAGGTCGTACCCGTTCCTCAGCTTGGAGCAGCTACTTCACAGCCCATACTCCCTCTGCATAGTGGACCAGTCTGCTACTCACACCATTCTGCAGGTAAGACTCGTTGTTGCTGGTCTTTGGTCTGATGTCCCGTCATTGTAAGCAAAGTTACATACAGGCATACCTCGGTGATAATGCAGATCACCGTAATAAAGCGAGTCAGACGGAATTTTTTGCTTTCCCATCGCTTATGAATAGTATATTTACATTATAGTCTAGTCTATTAAGTGACCAATAGCATTATGTCTAAAAACAATGTATATACATCACTTACAAATACTTTATTGCTACGAAGTGCTAATCATTATCTGAGCTTTCAGCGGGTCTAATCTTCCTGCTGCTGGAGGGTCTTGCCTCGATGTTGGTGGTTGCCGACTGAACAGGCTGGGGGATGCTGAATGTTTGGGTGATTGTGGCAATTTCTTAAAATAAGACAACAATGAAGTTTGCCGAATCGATTGACTCTTCCTTTCACGAAAGATTTCTCTCTCGCATGAGATGCGGTTTCATAGCATTTCACCAACAATAGAACGTCTTTCAAAGTTGGAGTCAGTGTTTTCAAACCCTTCTGCTGCTTTATTAGCTAAGTTTATGTAATATTCTAAATCCTTTGTTGTCATTTCAACAATGTTCACAGCATCTTCACCAGGAAACCCCTTTCTTTGCTGGTCCATAGGAAGCAACTCCTCATCCGTTATAGTTTTGTCATGAGATTACAAAAATTGAGTGACGTCTTCAGGCTCCACTTCTAGTTCTAGTTCTAGTTGTGTTGATGTTTCCACCGCAGTTACTTCCTCCACCGAAGTCTTGAGACCCTCAAAGTCATCCATGAGGTTTGGACTCAACTTATTCCTAACTCCTGTTAATGTTGATAGTTTGACCTCCTCCCATGAATCACGAATGTTCTAACTGACATCTAGAATGGAGAATCATTTCCGGAAGTAGATTCTAAAGGGTTCTGACGATGGCGTATAACTCTCATAGTTACTGGGTTTTTGGACTTTTTCTTCCATCGTCCGGTGTTCAAGAGATTAGAAAACACGACGTTTGGGAAAAAGGATATGTTTCTGTTCTCAGGTGAGGGATAGCTCTTTCTAAGGAACCCAATTGAGTAGGTGTTTTCCCCACTCACCTGAGGACGGAGGCATATCCAGTTTCCGAAACGTGTTTTCTAGTCTCTAGAATACCGAACTTAAACGCGGTGTCCTGAACTGGATAAGCAGACAAAACAAAGATTTCATGCTGCTGGTATAAGAAACTTGTCAGGACGATGAAGAAATATCGTGGCATTTAGATCCATTGCTAGGCAACGACCGCGAAGTAAGCAACTATACACTGGCCGTTACTAGGCAGCGGCCCCTAAACAGCAACAGTGCAACAGTGTTTTTTGTGCGTGTCGGTATGTTATAAGCAGGGCCAGTTAGCTGTTGCAGTGAGTGAGTTAGAGAGCTTCTGAGGTTCAGTCACTGTGACCTGTTGCCGTTAGAAGCTGGTGGCTGAGGCCGGGGGACACTCCGGGAGCACAGAACATAAAGAACTTCCGCCGTTGGAATCCGCTACCAAGTAACAGCTGTTGACTGTAACAGACTGGGAAGATCTAGTGTGTCCTATAGTGATTTGTGAAGTGTATTAACGAGTTGTATACATGTGCAATAAATCCGATTACTAATGCAAACCCCGTCCATAGTCACTGAAATTGTGACAAAGTGTTGCTGTAAAGGTATATTATCCTGAAAAGAGGGAGATTTTGGTGATTCTGGTATGTATATACTTTTTGTAAAAATAAATTCCGGTTCAACCTCGAATCTCCATCATATGTATTGGTAAAGGTCGAGTCAACCTATTCATTCTGACCCTGATGATGGAGGAAGTATGTACCTCCGAAACGCCAACAACACTACCCACATCAACATGATGCAAAGCTTCAAGACGAGAATCACCATCAATTATGAACCTCCGTGGAAGCCTAATTTCAGGAACTGTGCATTTCAAATACCTGGTTTTAACACTAGCAGCTCAGGGTGTGCAGAAATGCAAATGCGTGTGTTTAAAGAAAACAGGTCTGTGACTTCAAGCCGCATGCCATGTCGGACAAGAGTCCCCACGTTACTGTATTTTATTCTGCGAATTACAAGTTCTAATGAATTTGCAGCAATATATTGTCACGCGTAGGGGTGACTTATAAGACGGGGTTTTTGGATTGAGTGCTTGGATTTGTAGCACCTTATAAACACACACAACTCAGGAATACAGGTAGCTACAGCGTCATCTCTATTCTACGCACTTCAGTCGTGACAAATAAGAATCCATCAGCCTTTATGAAAGAGAAAAAAACCGTCACGGAAACTAAATAAGAGCAAAAGGGAAGGAATGTAAAGAGCTGGTCTATACTCTCTGATCTTGCTCCACTTACAGCGCGCGCGGGACAGCACGGTGTCTGCATTGTACCGGCAACAGATTGAGAATGCCTCCCGTTCGCTAGTGCTTGATATCCTGGCGGGACTGCAGCGTGTGTTCGAAAGCAAGACTCACGCTTTCCTGGACGTTCACGAACGAGTCCAAGGTTGCCTAGGGACGATGGTCTGTCGGGTAGTCGACATTCCCAGGGACCAGTTCTCTACCTACGGAGCTCTCGGTGTCAGAGAGGACTTGCCGTACAAGTTTGCCATTGATTATTAGTGAGTACCTTATAATCATGTAATTCAATCTGTTACAATATTCAACCAGTAAATTTCCGCGTATCGACTGAATTACAGATACCCAGCTCCCACAATTTAGTTGGCTCACAGATGACGGTGAGGTTGTCAGCCTTACACGCCGGCCGCCCTTTACACACCAGGAAGATTCCTGGTACACATTTCTGTTAGTGGCTGAGTCTACCGCAGGGCCATAGTTAGGTTTGAAGAATTAGGTCAATTAAAAAACTCCACCGCATATGGACTCGAACCCGAGACCTTCCGGCTTGTAGCATAGTGCCTCAACCAACAATTTTCACTTCTCCATGTCGTCCAGACCGGCTCTGAAGTTATAAACCTCGTTGAATTATATTTGGTTCTAAATTTATTTCTAACGTAGCCTTGGCCGCGCCATAGCTCAAGCGGTTAATCACTGGCTTCCCATTGCAGCGGGCGGGTTCGATCCCGGGTCTGGTCAAGTGGGATTTGTGGTGGACAAAGTGGCACTGGGGCAGGTTTTCTCCGAGTACTTCGGTTTCCCCTGCCAATCTTCATTCCACCAACTGCTCTACAATCACCCTCACCTATCATCTGGGGCTGGTAAAATAGGCCAGAATTGGCCGCAGTACAAGGGACTTAGTCCCACCCCACTAGCAATAAAAAAAACGTAGCCTTGAAATTCAGTTAGACGAAAACAAATTTAGTTCTTGTGATCATGGTTGCAGCATAGCACGGGGCTGCTTCTAACTTCTCTCTTCTGGGTCTTTGTTAGTTTGCAGTAGTTTATTGAAGGACGCTGCCAATAAAACAGATAAATTTATGTAGCGTTGAATAATTTGATGATAGCGAATAACGAAGCGTAAATTGTAAGACATGGAATGTTCATGACATAAATAAAGAAACTATCCAGGAGCCAGGAGGGACTGACGAAAATCACTGAATATCTCGGTAAAGATAATCGGGTTGCAGGCAAAGACTCGCAGGAGGCACCCCCTTAACACAGATCAGTGTTACCGCTTGAGCCAGCTCGTTTAAAATCGAGATTCAGATTTCCGGCAGCCGCCATATTGTATTTTTCCTTACTGGCAGAACTACCGAAACAAAATGTGACATCATAACGTTGTATCTGAGCATCCTATTGCTTTGATGCATCACTCACTCATTTAATTCCGTCTTTAATGCAACTCAAAACAGTTCACAATCTCTCCTTACTTTAAAATAACATTGAAATCACAACCCACAGTAGTGACATACACGCGACTATGGGAACATACCTGAAAGGGGGCACAAACATGGACGCCGCAAGAAGGAAGTTGCGCGGGAAAGAGAAGAGGTCATGTTCTCAAACAAATGGATTTTAGTGAGAGCAACAATATGCAACACCATGGAAATATATTGACTTGATATGTAGTGCAGTGTGAACAGTTGCCAAATAAGGGTGAAACATGTAGCAAATGATTGTGATTTTAACATTATTTTATATTGTGACATGTTGCGCAAAGGAGAACCCCCCCACCAGCAGTGACGCGGCGGGTGAGTCAGCGCTCCCCTCCCCCTCCTCCGCACGGTAACGTAACGGTGACGCAACAGGATTGTTACGGTAGTAACAGCGGTTACTACCGCTAGCGTTACTAGCAACACAGCGCCAGGCAACAAGGGTGCCTATTACGTGGCCGTTTTCCGTATTGTCCGATCAAGGCTACATAAGGAGCAGCGAAGGCTATTCACAGTCAGTTGTACTGAGTCAGTCGGTGAGTCCTGGAGCTACCGCCGAGTTAGCTAGCAACTAGTCAGTTGTATTCTGGCATTTGGAGTGTACTAATTGTGATACTGCAGATAGCAGTAACCGTAAATCTGTAATTTGGGTGATTGTAAGTGCGAATGTGAAATAAAATTCGCTACATCAAATACATCGAGAAGTTATTTGTCGCGATATACGCCCGATACGCGACAATATTAAGAAGAGATTGTGAACCTTGTAAAGTTGCATTGAAGGCGGATAAAAGGTGACATGTTACACAGATGTTAATATACTAAATTTGGGGGCCGTACAGGATGTTGATCGCTGATTGCAATACATCACGGGTGCTTAAGAATGTGATGTGACCTCTCGTAACAAGGCTGATCAGTGCTGTCACGTACTTATGTCTCCGTGACCAATAATAACGGCTTTTGGATTGGATGACCGGATTTATTGACAACTTGTTTACAGTCACTCGCTCAATAACAACCAATTACAACAGCTCACAATAAACAACTGCCTAAGACTCGCTCCATTCTGACTGGACAGCGACTGTCTTCCACTGTCGTCTCCTGGCTTCTATTCATATTTACTTTACGACTGCCTGGAACTATGAGTTACGAATGACTCCGTTTTTATCTGAATTGCCGCTTATATATCGTAGCGGTTTCCAAGGAAAGTTTCGTTCTTGCTCTTATCCATGGACTCGCCTGCTGATTCCACGGCAGCGAGTTTTTCATTCTCATATCATAGTAAAATTTAACACTGACCGATGGTTTGTGTTCGGGGAACGTGTTTGTTACAAGTTTCCTAGAAACGGGCCTACATGTCACAATATTTTCCCATGAAGTGGGTAACGTAGGCTAAAGTTGTGCCTGTTTGTCCGTAGCCTGAAGAGGATGTCTGAAGGAGGACTTCAGAAGCGACTGCAGCGGTTGTACTGGTGGCAGCAGGTGGCATGCGGGACTGAGAGCATCAAGTCCATTCGGCTGAGGAACGTCGGCGTTCTGTTCCTGTATCTGCTCTTCGGGCTGTTCATCTCGTGGGTAACGCTTGTGTGTGAACGCTTCTCAAAAATCGCCCGTCGCGCCACAGGGAGGAGGCGCGTCGTGGTGAGGACACACCGCAGCATTCGACAGCGAAAGTTAATGCCCAGGCATGATCGATCGTTCTCCCTGCCATATATTGAATAAATATTGCAACGGAGGTCGCGTTAATGCATAAACCCACACACATTCTCTTTTACTTATATGAGGATAATTCTGATTAAAATTAATCATTGTGGACGCATTTTGTACGTACCCTAGCTAAGCTGGCAGCTGAGGCCAGGGGCAGTTCGGAAACCCAAAGGAAAGGAAATGTCCACTGTTGGAAGCCGCTACCAAGCAGTGCAGTGAAGACCGTGACTGAGCACACTTGTCTTCGTGTGATAATGATTATAAAGTGTAATCATGAGTTGTTTAAGAGTCCAATATCCGAGTACCAATCCAAACCCCGTCTATAGTCACACCACGTGACAGTATATAACTCACAGCTGGGAATTTCACATAATCGCCAGCTATTATTCATACTACTATGCCAGCCAATCGATATTACCACACATATAATGACAATATTTGTTAGCTGAACAGCTTCCTGTTGTGGGGAAGACATACTTCAGAGAGCTGCGATACGTACAAAGTTCAGTGGGAAATTTGCAATAGTGATTGTACAATTCTCTCTAATAAATTATCCGAAAACTTCGACAACATTTATCGAAACCTGAAGCCAATTAGCTCAGAAACCACAGTGTAATGTCACGTGAAGTATTGTGACTGTCGACGGGGTTTGGATATTGGACCACTAGCATACACGACTCGGAATTACAAGTAATTGCAGCACAACCACTGATCTCCGCAATTCACAAATCACCACAGCCTGCTGTGTCTTCACTAGCCGTTTCCTGGTAACGGTTTCTAACAGTGGAGATTCTTCAGTTTGACGCGCTCAAATGCTCTCATCACAGACTCCACGCAAAATGGACTTGATTGGCCCAGCTCTCTTCCTTAAGACTCCTCGGCACGGACAACCGTAGAAACCCCCGTTTTAATAACATCTCTATTGTTGCATGCGTATACTTTGCAGCGGGAACGTGCTTACCAAGTCATTGCCCAGAAAAGAATGCTATTTCAGAGCCGTTCTCTAGCAACGGCTGTTTCTTTTGATCCACAGTTCTTGCTTTGAGCAAATATGCCAGAATATTTTGGCGGTTTATGTAACGACACCGCCGGTATCTCAGGCTGTGAAGCGCCGATTGGTGAATACTGAAGTCGAAAGGATCTGGAAGGAAGCTGTCATGATCTGATGGAACTACTGACACAGTATCTTCCAGGATATCCAGCGTCCTGGTCGAGAATCGAACCGAGAACCTAACTGAATACGAGTCTACAGCTTTACCGCCAAGCTGATCTGTCCGGTATACACTGCTGTTTCGGCTGTTGGGAACAGAATTGAAAGTAATATCACAATTTCATTTCCCTGTGACGTATTTTATTTGTATTCCCCACAACATCCCGTACATGTTCAAACATCAGCTGTGGACGTTTCGGTCTGGATACATACATACACAGACGTTATTTCGGAGACTAACTGAGGTTTAATATTTTATACAATTCGCTTTTGATTTCCTTCACTATATTATGCTAATTTACTTACAGTTCTAGTCATTCGTGGGTTTTGATTCGACCCCGGTCGAGGTTCGAACCGAGCACCTCCAGAATGCAAGTCAGGAACCGTGGCCGATCCGAGTCTTGACCAAGCAGCTACAGTCCTAATTGTAATACAGTAGTAGGAAGTCTCTTTTCCTGACAGGCCCCTCGAGTACTCGCCCCTACCTTCTACCCGTGAAACAAGACAGAGTCAACCACCAAACTATAAGTAGTACTGGAAGATAAATTGACATAGCCCAGATATTTCGTATCCCGCTCTCACTCTGATTTTGTAAGAAATTAATTAATATCGATTACAGAGCTATATAGGATGGGAAGTTCTCGCAGCGGTGGTTATGGAAAGTGCCGTCTTCTGGGAAATAACGCCGTGTGGTTCGTTTAAAGTCATCGAACGTTTCGGATGAAAATATCGCCTCCATCTTCAGAGTTAAAGAGTAAGCCGAACGAGAAACCATGAAAGCATGAAAGCACAATACGAGGGACAGAAGGCAAATAAGTAACAAATGGAAGTAAAACAGCTGTAATAGACATAACAGATTTTCTGTATCACTAGGTAGCAGCACAGTCCAACTTCATGATAGTCTAGGTAGCAGACGCGCATGCGCATCTTCAGAGGCTAGTTTCAGTGGTAAAAATGGAGACCGTGCTTCTAGAGTATAACAGCGAAGAGCAGCGTTCTGTTGTGCTTTTTTTGCGGACAAGAGGACTCAATGCAAAGGATATTCAAAAAAGAAATATTTCCCGTTTACGGTGGGAAGTGTTTGTCGCATAGAGCGGTTGACAACTGAGCCGAGAAACGTGGCATATATTTAGCTGAGACGAAGAGGTTGAAAGGAGGTGCGGAAGTGGCTGAGACAACAGTCACAAGACTTTTGTGCTGCGGGTTTCGACGCACTGGTAAAGCTATGGGACAAGTGTATCAATGTTGGTGGGGGATCTATTGAGAAATATATGTTTTCATTAAGTTCGAATATCACATATTTCACGTTTTATATCAATTTGTGACCTATTTACTGATTCGCTCGTATATTCCTCCGAAACGTCAGTTTATTTTCAACGGACTACACAGCATTATATCCCAGAAAATAGCACTCTTCAGAAGAGCTCTAGTTACAGTGCAGACATTTCAGCGTGCCTACCCTTGCTATATTAAAAGTTGAAAACTAAAGTCTGACTTATCTTTCTCTGAGTACCACCCATACTAACGGGGTAACACTCTTGAATCCTTTATCGACCACAGGCGAAAATCGATTGTTTCGGAAAACTAATCTTCACTTCTGCTCTTACATGTCCATATATATTTTCTGAGTGTCTTACCCCGTCTTAAAGATATTGTACTCATCAGATTCAGTCACAACCATATGCTGCATAAAGGCTGGAACATTCCTTTCATATCTTCATACCTTAAGCAGTATTTCATGATCACCGTCATATTCAGAATCAAGCTTAATTGCCTAAAATAAACCTTGTAACTACAGTTAATGTGTCCATCTTCCTCAGAGCTTCTAGGATCTGTTTGTTACAGTTTTCAAATTGTGGCTCATTAAATCTTTAAAATATCCCTTTTTATTACAGATCAAAATCATCACACCTGCCGTTCATAGCGGGAGTACATGATTTCATTTCACAGCCCTTCCGTTCTTTCGCTTTATATTTGGGATTTCTCTGTCTTTCAGACCACAATGAAGAGCAAAGAAACATCACACTGTCCAGTTACATTCTCAGCTGATCCCTTCCCATGGGTCTTCTCCACTTCCAAGTCCTGTCACACCTGTACCGTGCCAGTGTATATCAGCGCTTCAATTTTGTTGAATGTAAACTCAGTTGAAAGGTAAAGCTATCCCTGTCACAGGCCGTGGAGGCCCACATAGTTGTGAGACGTTGAGGGCTCCAACACTTTCTAGGCAATCGGCTCACAGATGGCGGTGAGATTATCAGCCTTACGCGCCGGCCGCCTTTACCCCACAGGAAGATTCCTGGTACTCATTTCTATCATAGACTAAGTCGAGTGGGATTAGGTAAATTGAAAAAAATTCAATTATCTTTTCGGGAATCGAACCCGCGACCTTCAGGCTTGTAGCATAGTGCCTCAACCAACTACGCTACCGCATGCCCAAAATGCAGACACTCGTCAAACCTTTCAAGGCACAACAGCAACACTAAGTCCACTGCCTTCTGCAAAATTCTGGAATCAGAGCCGTGTTTGTGCAAGGTCACACGAATCCGGAGCTACCACGTGACTTCTTCATGCAGCCTGGTTACCTTCCGCTGCCACTCTCACCCAGTTTCTGACTGACTATTGCCAAAGGCCCTACAGTGCCGGGAGTGAAACTTCCAGGAGCTCTTCTTCCCGAACTACTGTGCCCTCTGTCACTACCATATTGGCAGCCTCCTCTCTGCATCTGCGCAGTCTCATACAGCTGTTTCTGCATCACGGCAAGCGACACCTTGTTGGCTTGCAGGAAATCCTTCATCGAAATCATTTCTCCCGACAGACGCCTTCCACCAGCGCCATCGCCCTCGGAGTCATATCCCATCGAGTCTGAGTCACCGTCTTTATTCGGAGTCTTGGCGTTGCCGTCCGACATGACTCCGCAAACGGCTGAGCGTCTCCCAAGGCCTGCTGCAAGATTAGGCTTCCGATGCCGTCGGAGATTCCCAGGCATCCCAGCGCTAGAACGGCGCCTACGGCGTCGCATGCTCTGCTGAAACCTCATGGACTGACGTCGCCAGAGGCGTCCAGCGGCGCCAGTCGGATCCTCGAAGCAACGGCAGTCGAGCCGAACGATGAGCCAGTTCAGTGCCTGCTTGATCACGATGGACGTGACGTTGAAGAGCGAGTAGATGCAGCAGCAGCCCAGCACGATGAACACGAAGTTCCCGAACCGATACCAGTGCACGTGGGGGTACGTGGCCTCCTGGAACAGCACGTCAACAGTTACTGGATTATGCGTCCCACACCGAGCTCGTGGTACCGGACTCGCCTCAGTGCTGCCGTTAATACAAAAATATTCTTAAACACAGTCACATAATCTATAATATTTAAAATACACACATATATATATTAAATTAATCATATTTATTTTGCAGATTTTCGCGTGCCTAATAAACATCAAGTGAAGCATATCTACACTGCTTAATAACCAATACCCTAGACACGCCCGCTTCCAAAAAAAACAAACAAACAAACAAACAAACTCCGCGATTTTAGTTCGCAAGCGAACTATACCGACCGAGCGACCGCTGCTTGTCGGCGAAGTTTAGTGCCAACTTTTATGGACAGAGGGTGTCACGTTGTCAGCGCAACGCATCCCCACGGCCATTAATTTCGGTTTTCTAGACCGGAGTCGCTATTTCCTTGAAATAGCTCCTCAATTATCATCACGAGGCTGAGTGGACCCTGTTCCAGACCCACTACTTCTCAGAAAAAATCTGGCAGAGCCGTGAATCGAACCCGGACCTCTGGATTTGTAGCCAGGAATGCTGACCGCTAGACCACAGGGGAACCTTCGCCTCCATTTCAAATATTTAAAAAAATCGGATTCTGTTATCATATAATTTTATTTAACTAACATATTTTGAATTTTAACACGTTTTACTTTTATCATACAGTATTGTAGATATATTCAACACAAAAATCTAAATTTAAAATTAAAATTAAATCGTAATATTAGAGATTTTTATAAATTAACCCAATTTAATAATTTAATAACCAATTACGTAATTCGTAAAAAGCACGTGATGATCACCTTTATAGATCGAAACATGCAATGGAAATGAAATAAAACACGGATATTAAACATTTCAATATCACTTTATACAGCCCGGGTATTTAGAAGTGACAGTCCAGGAAAAGCTGCGCAGTTCATGGGCAGGTCCATTCGTGAAAGTTGTGGGGTGTTGTGATTAGTCATTCGTTTGTTTTCAGTGCGAGCAGACGTCTCAAGTTCAGTCAAAAGCATTCTTCCTTGTACAGTCAAGTTAAAAAGTTTTGACTCTTGGAGTCTTATTTGAGTGTATTATTCTCTAATTACTGTATTAATATTTTATTTTATTGTTTATTTTTATTCGTTGATTTTCTGTTTTGTTTATTTATATTTGCACATTTTTTCTATCTCATTTAACATGCCACCTATACGAAGAAAATTGAGTGGAAAACTGTTGCATTCACAATCAAGAGAAATTGTTAGTAATGTATATAAGTGTATGAAAGAGGCTGGGTCAACACTTACAGAGAAGAACTTGGAGTGGAAGTAAAAAAGGCAACAGGTGAATCGGAAAGTAGTGTCAGAAATAGAAGAAACAAAAAATATCGATACTGGGGCGTTCACTTCCTTTTCGACACCCCATAAAGAAAGACCTAGGAAATCTCTACTAGCCCCTTTGAGCATTGAGCAACAATTAATGGCACGGGAAGGCCTTTTGGACGCATGACGAGAGTTGTCTTCCATGTTGGCGGTGATAGTGATGACAGTTCTGATGATAGCTCCGATTCATCTGATGGTGACAAGGAAGGATAGGCATGTGGCGATTATATCTATGCGGATATTGCCGGGGTTGCCTCTTTAGAAGAGACCTGTGTAATATGTAAATAAACCCTTCATGTATATAACAGTGAAAAGTGTATAATAGTGTATAGTGTACAGTAGTGTAAAGTGCATAACAGTCTGCCATTCGGCACTTAAAACTTAACATCATCGAAACTAACTATGCAACAGAGTGAGGTAAGTTATTTCCTTTTGAGAACGTCTGTACTGTATTCCCCTCCACACTTGTCAGCAGGCTGGAGCTCTCCCCGCCACTACCAATACTTCTCCTACTCCGCGTCGGATGACATAGATCTGATAGTTAAGAGAGATATGACATATTAAATTCCGAAGGTAATGCGAGCCAGACGACGAACGCTACGTGGTTTCCACAAAAGATTCTATGCCTTTAATTGCGTATTAATCTTCCGGCTTTAAATGTACGCTACAGGGGCAAATCAGCTATTACATCCAACTGCGCCACCCCCCTACAAAGTACAGAATTTCCGTTCGTGTTCTCACAATGTGCTGTAATGCAGTTAGGGGTTTTCTACAAGGTGACAAAGAAAGCGGTTCGAAAGGTGACTCTGTATCTTATCTGTTTTACGATAATAATGCCTTTCTTTCATAGACAGTCCCTGCTCCGCTCGCTAAAAGGAACAGCCTCTGCTGCACATGTAGTTTTGCGCTGCAGGAGATGGTCAAGGAGGTTATGTTACTTCCTGTTATTCGTAAACAACGCGTGTGATAAAAGTGCATAAGCGAAGTAATGTGTAGAACGAATATTTTTAAGTGTTCAATTCCATTGAAATGAAAAGCCTCGGGCAATGCGTAAGTTTGGATGAGAATTGACTTTTCCATTCTACGGTCATTTCTAGAGCTTAGGTTATTAGAGTTTGTGCGGAAGACGATCGGAGACCACTGGCATCAGTGATGAAGCAACGGGAGAGGATATCAAGTAGATTTAACAGTAAAGAAGAGGACTACAGTGAAGTCGTAAGTCGTTCACAACTCCTAGTTTAGAAACCAACGGCCAGTATTAATTTCTGTCCTTACAGCTGTACTAAAGACCACATGTTCCATATTTCACGCTCGTCTCAGAGAACGGCTTTGTTCAAGACAGGAAAGAGAGCAAAGCCATTTTGACCGAAAAGAAAGCATTGTATCTTAGCGTCGTACTCATGTCGTCCCAATTAAGAAGTTCAGGGAAGAGAATAAGAATGCTGTGTGCACACACGAACTGTGAGTCGATGTAGGGCAATTGTGGTTTTATTAAGATGAAGCGTGACAGTGCCTGAATGGGTCCATTTAGCAGAAGTAGAAATTAATATAAAACCAACAGGTTTTCAGTTTGGACAATTTGGAGTCTGAAAATGGCGCTCTATTCGCTGAAACATGTGACCTAATTGGTAAGCTTTATTGGCAAATATACTCTCACGATTTATGAGCGTGACTAATAAGACGTATTAATTATGGGATTATTGGATTAATTGATCACTCATAATCACAATAAATTACAATAATCCACAATATTAGAATGGATCTTAGAGAGAGAGGATGGGATGATGTGTATTGGATAGATCTGGCTCAGGATAGGTACCAGTGGAGGGCTCTTGTGAACACGGTGATGAACCTTCGGGTTCCATAAAATGCTGGGAAATTCTTGAGTAGCTGCAGAATTTGCGGCTCCTCAAGAAGGGCTCAGCTCCATGAGTAAGTAAATAAGTAAGTAAGTAAGTAAGTAATCCACAATATATTGCTGCCCGAACCCTTTTCCTGTACTGCTGAGGACTCGCTCCATTCTGACCTACGACGAGTCAAAGTCAAAGTCACACTGCGACTGACGGTCAGTCAGTCAGCCAGTCTTGGCATGGAGCCTTATCTGGTGCTCATGACCAGATATTTATTCCTCTTTAACAGTTACGGTCTTGTTTTCGTGGGGCGCCCTTTCTGACGAGAGGACGGGTCTGTCTTTTGTATATGCTGCTGGCCCTTGCCAGCGCAGTCTTTCTCGGGTCCGAGTCCCTTGGGACTCGCGACCATACTTTACTGTCTCAGATTTGAGACCTCCTGAATTGCTTATATAGCCTGAGGCGGACCCATTGCGTAGCAATGGACGTCCTCTGTTGTTGGTTGCGTATTTGTTGAGGGTTTGTTTATCGAGTCGTTGCCTAACAATGGGCATATGCGTCACAATACTTTGTGAGACTGCACACAATATTGTTAAACGAAGTATTAGCAATTGTATTATGCATTGTGGAATAGTTCCCATACTCATAAGATGAATAGGAACTTCTCCACACTTCTCCTATCATCTTACCTGGGTTGAAACGTAATCCCCGAAACCTATAGTGGCGAATGAGACGAAGCAGAAATAGAGGGACTCGAAGAAGCTCCAGTTCTCGAAGGGGCTGTAGACGGCAGCGGCGCACAAGGCGAGGGTGACCGACGCGAGCGTCAGGTACAGCATCACCCAGTATACACTCGGCTTCCAGTTGTCCAGGCTACACTCGTCCTCGTCCATATCGTCCGGCAGCGAAGCACGGGAAACGCGAGAGGCTCGCCTGGCGCCCAACCCGCCATCTTCCATCCTCTTCTTGAGTCTCCGCAGATGCACTGTCCGCAGGATGAACGCCAGGAATGTGATGATGCGCTCCAAGAACAGGTTGAAGAAGAGGATTCCTCCAGAACAGCCCAAAAAACCGTAGATAATCACCACTGCCTTGCCGGCCGTGGTCTGCGGTGTTGTGTTGCCGTACCCTTCAAATAAATACAGGATGACTGTTAGAATTGTCCATATCTGACTGCTCTAAACACTAAGTCTTCTCTATCCTGCAGTGTCTTCACTAGTCGTTTCCTGGTAACGGTTTTAACAGTGGAGATTCTTCAGCTTCAAGCGCTCTTGCTTATAACATCTCAGCGCGGACCACTCAGAAACACTCCGTTTCCTGTGTTTAATGTGTATCCGTTGCCGCGGGAACGTGTCTACCTAGCTGTTACCCAGAAATGAGTCTGCTATATCCGCCCATTTCACGGTCGTTGCCTAGGAACGGTTCTACACGCTACAATATATAAAAGAAAGAATCCTTATTAGTAAAACTAAAATATCAGAGAGGAATTTGTTTAATTCATACTGCAAAAAGGTACACACTCCTTGGACAAGTGATCAGCTTGTGCAAGGCCTCTGCCTAAACACAGGATAACACAAACACAGAATAAACACATACACATACCGAACATCAATGCCTTGTGTGAGATTCGAACCCACGATCCCGGCTTCCGAGCGAGCGAAGACTATACAGGGCTGAGACCGCTCGGCTACCGTGACCGGCTACTATGATTCTACCGGTCATAAATACCCTAGTATGTATGTTGCCAGCAGTTGATCCAGATTCATGAATCAGTAGTTTCCAACAGCGGTTCCAGAAACTCAAAATCCGGCCCTCCGAACCGTATTGTTTATTGAATGTGTTACTTACGTCCAGCAGAGGTAGTCACTTTGTTCCGTGTATCATTAGACATTCTCAAAATTATTATACATATCTTTGTCTCTTCGACTATCGCCCAATTAATTCCCTTTTAAGTTTTGGAGTCAGAATTGCATTTAGTATTTGTACTGTCCCCGAAGTGAACGGAGAAGTTCATGGAGGTAGGCCTAGGCCACCGGGGCTGTAGTGCCAAGGGGGGAAAACATTTGTACTGTCTATCCATTCATCCATCCACCCACCCACGTACCCATCTACCCATCCGTCTGTGTATCTGTCAGTCTGCCGACCCACCCACCTACTTCCCTCCCTCCATCCCTCCTGTTGCTCCCACTAGGAGCCTAGGGCATCCGTGAAACGCTTCGTTTCACTTCAGTTTCTTAATCTTAGACAGTCGGTAGGGCTCCTTTGCCGGGGGATCAGCGCGACGCAAGGCGGCTACCTACACAAAACAGCACAAACACGCAATAAACGCTGACATCGGTGCCTTGAGTGGGATTCGAATACGCTATCGAAATATTCGAGCGAGCAAAGACATTTAATGCCTTAGACGGCGCGGCCACTGCTTAAATTAGTACACTCAAAATGATTTCAACTTAGCATCTACTCTACTCAGTCTCAGTACTGACATCGTCCTTGAATAACCAGCGTAAAGAAGGCAACTGAACAACAGACGCAACTACTAAACCAGCAGTTAGATATCTGAGAAGTGTGCCAATATTTTATCAGTCTGTAAGAAATGAAAACTCGATTCAGGAGGAAATTAAGAGGAGATTGAACTCGGGTAATGCTTTGCTATCATTCAGTTAAGCACCTTTTGTCTTCTCGTCTGTTGTCCAAGGCATAAAAATTAGAACATACAAAACTATAATTTTGCCTGTGGTTCTGTATGGGTGTGAAACTTGGTCTCTGACATTAAGGGAAGAAATAGACTGAGGGCGTTTGAGAACAGGGTGCTCAGGAGAATATCTGGACCAAAGAGAGATGAAGTGACAGGAGGTTTGAGAAAACTGCATAATGAGGAGCTTCATAATTTGTACACTTCTCGAAGTTTAATTAGATTGATCAAGTCAAGGGGGCTGAGATGGGTAGGATATATAGCACGAATGGGGGAAGAAAAATGCATATAAATATTGGTGAGAAAGTCAGATAGAAAGAACCATTAGAACGACCAAGACGTAGGTGGGTGGACAATTACGTATTAAAATGAGTCGTAGAGGGAGAGGATAGGGTGGTATGGACTGGATCAATCTGGCTCAGAATAGGGACCAATGGAGGGCTCCTGTGAACACGACAATGAACTTTCGTGTTACATAAAAAGCTGGGATGTTCTTGAGTAGCTGCAAAATTGGCAGCTTCTCAGGAAAGGCTCAGGTCCATGAAGTTACTTAGTTAGACATCGTTTTATAAGAGAATATTATATGGTGAAGAAACAGCGTTGGGAATGAAACTTGCGAGAGTTTATAAAAATATTTCTTTCTGTATAAACTTACACCAACCACGCAAAAAACGTTCGCGGACCATGGTTTAGGAAACAGTGGTTTAGAATACTCATATTGGGAGTGCTGTATTTAAATATGTAAATAGGAATATGTAATTGCCATATCATAGCCCTCCTCAATTACTTTCCAGACAGCTTCACCTTTTGACCGAGTGCCTGAATTCCATTTGATGGAAAAACACAATTCGAGGGCGATAGATGGAAATCAAACTGCACAGGAAGAATATTCATTGTCGGAGTCTTTACTTAACCAAATCGGTTACGAAATAATATAGACAGACACTGGAAACAGAAAGATGTGTTCTTCTTTTTGACAGATCTGGCATTTATCCCCATATTCAATGGATTCGGTCGATTCCAGAAAATGAGATAAGGAATTTAGGGTGGAAATTGGTTGGTCAAACAGAAAAGATCACCCTACCACAATTAAATTGCAACCACTACCCTGCTACTTCTGGCCCTACTTCCACCCACGTGCAACCCAAAGGCCATGTCTGCAAACATCTGTGCACACCGCTGTCGCCGGTCGTTCGGTCGCACAGTTGGGAGAGACAGACACTCGTCGAGGAAAATTGGGCCAATGCGATTTGACCACTAGAGGAACCAACAAACTAACGTTCAATGCATATCGCGATCACTCTTCAGTAGCGCCCCAAGGAACAGCTGAAGTAACTGTATGTCACGTGACTCGGCCGCTCGGCCGTACGATCCCGAGCCCCTGGTACGCCACTAAAACCATTCTTCCAGTCGCTTTATTTCTTGTATAGGAATGCACGTGTGACTTATGCATGGGGAGCAGTGGTTGCCCAAGAAGGTTCCGCCTGTAATTTTAGGACCACACAGTTTCAAACAGGAAAAGCCGTCTCATAATCGTAAACAATTTTAAAGAGACAAAGTCGTTATTGGATCAAAAGGAACTGGATCTCTACTCGGAGCGAAAGCGAATTCGCTCTGAGGGCGTCAGAAATGCGCGTCGAACAATGAGAAGCTCGTCCAGCTCCTGCTGTATTGTGGGTAAGTTTTGTTTGTTTTGTGTATGGATCTTCGTTTTTATCAGCCCGAGTTGACAACATGAGGGAGGGTATGTCGCGTTGGCCAAGGATGATCAACGATTTTGCGAGAGGTCTAAGCAGATTTAACTGCGTTCGTAACAGATCTACATATTTCACTGAGCAACTGAAAATCTAGTGACATATTTACGTATTACCTTGAGGTTGGATCCGAATTCTGCGGTCAAAGGGGTGTCACTCCTGCTTCGTACTGAGGGGGGGTTAGTCCTTAGTTCAAATTGAAACACGAAGGTCGCCTCTCCTGACTGAAGGCTCTTTGAGTTCATTCAGACGAAAGCCGGAAAACTGCTATGAATTAGGCAACAACCACTTCCACATCCGGTGTAATTTATCATTTACTAATCGCCTACCACTGGGTGCTATATACTGAGAGTTCATGACTGTAGCTTTATATAAATAAAAATGCTTTCATCATTATCTAGGTCTTCCAAGTGGCTTCTTCCCTTAAGATTAGCCGATGAAACTCATGTACGAATTTGTCTTTTCCCACATCAGCTTCTGTCTCTCTCTATGTTTAGTTCCTGATTTTTCACTTTTCCTTTCTTTCTTATTGCATTTTCTTCTTTCCTTGTTCATTTTTTCTGTTATGTACGAGGGTTATTCGGAAAGTAACCACCTTGTATTTTAGGCACCTAGTATAGGAGCGGGGGAGAGCTCGCGCATGCGGGATAGAGTCACACGTCTCATTACCTTGTATACCGTTACATAACTGGTCACCTAGTGTTTGTTCTTGTCTCTACATTGAGTTATGATGTGTCCTGTGATTGATAATCCCGCCAGCTGCGAAATTCGCGCTGTTATCCGCTTTCTTCACGCTAAAAATATGAGTGCAGCGGAAATCCATCTTGAATTATGTGCGGCGGTTTACGGCCAGAATGTAACCAGTGAAGGAACCCCACTTTCACTGCGCTTTCGTCTGACGTTCGCATTTCTTTGTTTCAAAGATTCTGAGATTCTCCCAGAGGTGGTTAGGAAGACTTCTATATAACGCCATGTAGGCCCTCGAAAGTTGACCGGCATTTCTGAGAATTATGTCGCTTCCTTCAAGCAAGAAACCAGAATGAATCATGTATCACGGAACTCCGAAACGTCGGTCGACTTTCAACAGACTACAAGGCTTTACTCTTTCTGTGAAAGTTTTTACCTTCTTTCTTTTTTTTATTACCTTTATTAACTTTTGTTTTCTTTCGTATATCCTCCTATATTTGTTCTCTTCCAGTAATATTTTGTTTTCTCTATTTAATTTAGTTTCCTTCATTTACTTTCGTTTCTATTCTCTCTTTTTATTCTGGGCTGTAGTCTGTACCTTTACATTGCATCTGTAAGGCACATCGTAACACAAACCTGTGACATAAATGCAATTGTAATACCATAAGTTACAATTTTAGTGTTCCCTGTTGGAATAGGTACCCATTTTACGAAAAACAAATTATATTATTCTGCTCGCCGTGTGTATCAACCGCCTTAGCATTTTGACCACGGATTGTATTGAGGCGTATCTCATGATCCTTAAAATAAACATATACTTTTCTCCAAAACAATATTAATCGATTGATCTTTTTAATTACTACGCGGTGTATTTTCTATGCCTTAAGAAATGAACTTCATATTATTTAAATCTGTTTCATAATTCAAAATGTTTCATCAGTGTAAAGCAGCTTTCTCGACTTCCCAGAGTAAGTTCCACTTTACTGAGGATCAATT